TCCCCCCCCCCCCCCCCCCCGCGTCTATTTCCTTTTTTTTCCCACTCTTCTTTTCGCCTACTCGTTGCCTTTTCCTGCCCATGGCGGTCAATAAATCCTCTTGCATGCTCATGTGTGGCTTAGGTCGCGTTCCATCTTTGCTCAGGCTGACCTCGATTCGCGCGCATCGACACCTCTCACCTCTCTACCCTCATCACCAAGCAGCCAGGCTGATCCTGGACTGGGAGACGACGATGTCGATGAGCTCGAAGGCATCTTTGCCAAACCCATCCCGACCTCCATCGATCGCTCGAACGCCGTCCTTCAGCAGTACTCCTATGTGATCTTCCTGCCGTGGCGCGTCGCCATCTGCACGACTTGCGGCGCTGCAGTAGAGCCGAAGTCTTGCTATCGTCACTTCGTTCAGCACCTCCCTCGTTCTCGCCCGGCCAGAGACAAGTTTGCGTTGGACGCAGCAATTGCCCGGCTCGGCCTTCAGGATGCTCAACTCGAAATCGAACCTCGCGTGTATACTGTCGCCAGCGTGCTCCGTGTCCCTGTCAAGGCGTATGCCTGCACCATTCTAAGCTCTGCTTCCTCCCGTCCTCTTGCGTGCCGGCGGCCATACATGTCTAAAACTGCGCTCAGGCGGCATCTGAATGAGTACCATGCGCAACAGACGAAGGCTCAGTCCGACCGTGTGGAGCGATGGTCTCGTCCGGTCCAAGCACAACGGCTGTTTGGCATGCGGAACACGCCTGGCTATACTGCCTTCGAGGTTGCGCCAGCCAATCCGATCAGCTATGTTCCCTCGATGACCGCCATTCTAAAGCAAATGGACTCGCTCAGGGCCCATCATGTGCAAGTCGCCGGCGACGCAGTCGATGCCCGAGCCTTGGATGTCTTCCATGCGAAGACGCACTGGCATACTGTCGTGGCCGAGTTCGACCTCAGCGCGCTGCACTTGCTCGCCCAAGTGCAGTGCAGCACCCCAGACAAGTGGATCAGATCGCTCTCCCAGGTGTGCCTCGACCTGATGGCGCACATTCATCTCGAGGCGATCCCAGCATTGGATCGCACGCTCACCCTGCGATGGCTCAAGATCACCGACGGCCACTTCGAGCGAGGCGACCCACACACAGTCTACCAGGAGAAGCAGACCCGCGAGCGCGCAGCTGGCTACATCTGCCAACTGCTTCTAGCGGCCATACGACTGCGTTCAGATCCCGACCGTCACCCTCCGTTTGACCTCTTGCTCAGCGATGAACAGACTCAGCTGGTTGACACGCTCGTTGCTGTGCTTCAGTCCGGTGGAGAGGTTGATGTGCAAGCTGCGCATGACATTGTGAAAGAGCTGCTGCACTCGATCATAACCACACGAGTGTACAATACCGGTCTCGCTTCGTACACGGTCGAGCGATGGCTCATCCTGCTCTCTCTCCGGCACGACGGAAGCTGGAGGACCGTCGAGGTGATCGGTCCCCTCATCGGTTACCTCAAGCATATCGTCCGCGACCTCCTTGCGCTGCACATCTTCCTCGAAGCTGGCCCTTGTCTTGAGACTCAGCTTTCTGTGTGCGCCCGGATCCGGCCCTTTCACACCGACGGCGAGCCCTATGCCTGGCACTGCTTGAGCACGCTTGGAGGACTGGTCAGCTCGATCGCAGCCAACAACCCGGCCTGGCCAAACGCGGTATGGTCCGATGGAGGAAGGTCGATCTGCTATGACAACGTCAGCTTGACCCTTCGCGCTCTCCGTGATGGTATCGTGAACATGGTGTCTGCCGCCGAGCACGACTTTGAAGCGCTCGCGCTGCAAGGCCTCAAGCCATGTTGGCTCGACGATCTTGTAGAGCACGTCCTCGACCCGAATGTGCATGTCCTTGATCAGCATTCGAAGCAAGACATCGGATACTCGTTCCTGACCGACCCTGCGCACGTGCACTTGCTGCAGGCCAAGGCGCATCTTGGCTTGATCAATGACCTGGTTGAACTCGACATGAGCCGTGTCCACAGTGCCCCATCGCTCATCCGCCTGGGTGAACTCGAAGCAGACGGTTCACCCGTGTTCGATCCAATGCTTGTTGAGCGCTACCTGGAACGACTGGATCGGGCTAAGCTCTCCACCCTTGTCGCCGCGCATGTCACGGGTGGGGGCGTGAACCGAGGCACCGAGTTCCTGAGTGGGAAGATCCATAACGATCGGCTGGGCATTCGAAACTACCACTTCATGGATCGGATGGTGGCCTACCACACCACGTATCTGAAAACGCGCGCGTCCGGCTATGCTCACGATCTGAACATCCGTGCCTATCCGGAGCGTGTGACGATTCTCTTTCTCAAATGGTCTCTTGCCGTCAAGCCGCTCGAGGAGTTTCTCGTCAACAAAGTCCAGGGGCGAGAGACGTCGCTTCGTGCGAGGGACTACTTTGCCAACTCCGAGGCTGGCTTCCTTCGCACGGAGCATTTCTCTGACACGCTCCAGCTGATGACACACAAGCACATCGGACGAACCATCAATCTGCGCCAATACCGGCAAATCGTCAAGATGATTCTGCGGGACAGAGTAGCAGGCGAGGACATGGACGCGTTCTGCGCGATGGACGAGGAGAATGGCCGAGACGATGTTGACCTTCAGTTCAACCACAGCAACAGTGTCGCGGCTCAGAACTACGGCGTTCAATGACGCTCCTGAAGTTTAGATCGAGCGGCAGGTTCTGCTGTCGCAAAAGTGGCACCATTGGCTCGGCTTGGGTCCGCCGCCGCCGGGCACCGCCGTCTCGTCTTCTGTTCAGATCAACTCGGTGCCTAGTAAAGCAGAGCCCAGCGGGTTGCAAGTGGCCGAAATCCTTGCCATCTCGAAGAAGCAGACCCAGACGATCCTGCAGGGACTTGGAGTTCTGGCGCAGGTCAGGCCCACGTCCTCCCACTCTGGCTCGCTCATCTCCCATGGCTCACTCCCACGCATCACCACGTCGAACACGATGATCCTTCCAGCCCGCCTGGTGGTATTGCGCCGCATGCTTCGTGACCCGGCCAGCCAGGCATCTTTCTTGTTGGCACAGCAGGGTGTGTACATCGAGTCGGTCATGAAGGGCGCGTACAACCTGCTTATAGTGACGCCGACGGGTTCAGGCAAGACGACGGGGATCGCGTATCCGCATCTGGCACAAGCGGCAGGCGTGAGCTTGGTCATCACTCCGTTCGTCTGCTTGAAAGAACAGACGCTGAGCGGGCTTAGGCAGCTGGGTGTGCCTGTCTCGCTTTGGAACCCAACGGAGATGCGGGAGGTGGGCGTGATGATCGTGTCAGCGGAGAGAGCATCGAGCCGTCCCTTCATCTCCTGGCTCACTGCCCCTGACCGTCAGAGGTTCATTGCGCGAATCTACATCGACGAGGCTCACCAGGTGCTCATCAACACCGCATTCCGCCCTGTGTTCGCCCATCTTTCGAGGATCCAAGCCAGCGTGGCTCAGGTCATTCTTCTGACGGCAACATTGTCTCCCCAGTTCGAATCTCGCCTGGTCGAGACGCTTGGCTTGTTCGTTCCCCATTTCCGATGCATACGCCAGCCCTCCGTGCGACCAGAGCTATGCATGCAGTTTCGACGATGCAAGAGCGCCAAGTCGTGCGTGCAGCAAGTGTTGGACTACATGCGCCGTTGTGAGCTGGGACCGAAGGAGCGGGGCATGGTGCTGTGCCGGTCCAAGTCATCCGCCGAACAGTTGCACACGCTGTATCCCCTGTCTGTCGTCATCACCGGGGACACGTCAGCGGAAACCCGTGTGAAGCAACAGGCACGGTGGGCCAGCGGCTCATCGATGTGGCTCGTGGGTACGAGTGCGATCGAGCAAGGACTGCACTACGACTTTGTCCGACACGTCCTGTGGCTCGAGGCGCCGCACAACCTTACAGCATGGGTGCAGGGTGCCGGACGAGGGGGGGGGAAGCTCAACCGATGCGACTGTGTTCTGTTCTGGTCGACGCTTCCTCGAGCTGCAGACGACATCGAGACGGACTACGCAGGGTTCACGGCGATGCGGGCTATGCTTGAGGACGATCACGGGTGTCGCCAGGTGGGGATCTCTCGCTTCTTCGACGAGGAATGCACATCATGTGTGGCCATGAGAGGCGCCGTTCTCTGCGACGTTTGCGAGCGAGCACTGGTGCGTTGATTGGGCTCATTGACTGCTCAAGCTGACGCAAGGTGAATGTAGGATATCGAGCCATCAGCTGCTGTAGAAGGCGACATTGTGCAAGCCGAGCTGTGTTCTATTCTCGCTCGGGCGGAAGACGCAGACCAAGAGAAGGGTCGGCGGGCTACAAAGCGACGGCGTACCGGGTCTCTTGCTGCGTCTCTGAGCATCGTCCCAAAGAGCGGTGATGTGAGTTTGGTGGGTGAGCGGGTGAGAGTGACAGAAGGGCACGCGAAGCGGGTGAATGAGCAGCAGTCTAAGGCGCTTTCTCTCGACTTGGCGAGCCGCTGGCCGCAGACACGGAGTCGCTGCGCGCTTTTCTGGCTGATCCCACGGGTACGGGAATGGTATGGGCTGCAGGGGTTGCCCGTGCCCGAGTTTTGGCCAGAAAGGGCGTCAGAGGTAAGAACGAAGGGGCAGGTGTTTGTTGCGTGTGTTGGCTCACATGGAATCAGGTTGAGCACAACTTCATCTACCATTGCGAGCACTTTGAGCGCGTGGTGCACGAGCGTGTAGGAGCGGGGATGGGGAGCCAGAGGTCGATGGAGTACGTGGAGTACAGGCGATTTGGGTCGCTCGGGAAGAGGCTGAGACGGATTGGGGGGCCGGGAGGTGTGCTACAAGTGTCTCATTCCACGGAATGGATGTTTTTCGCACGAAGGAGGGGCGGGGGTACGGTGTGTTCCATATGATGACATTGTGAAGGTGTTTGCGTATGTTGTATTCCGGCTAGCACCTGGCCCAAGTGCCACCGGCACGGTGGCACCCCCCGCTCGACCCACCGTTTCCTCCTCAACCGCCCGGCGCCCCGCCACGCTTCCCGCACCGTTATTGCAGCCCCGCCCGCGCTCCATCGGGGGACGGGTTAAAATCCGGGCATTGAGAAGGCGGCCGTCGAGGAAACGGCGGAGCGCGCCGACGGGTCCGGCCGTTCCACGCCCGTTTCCGCCCCAAACCGTCCGCGGCCCCAAAGTCCGTCTTAGACCGCGCGGGCGTCGCTCAGACTTTGGCAACGTCCGTCCCCGTGCCCGCTTCCCCTGCTCACGCCGTCCCATCGACGATCGTTGAGCAGGATCGTTCGAAAACGGCTGGGGACGGCGTGCGACGGCCGTTCTGGGCACCGTTTCACGGGTCCTTAGGTTAGGGTTCCCCCCATCCGCGCCGCGTCGCGTGTCGCCTTCGTCTCCCAAGGGTCCTTTGGCAACACCAGTAGTGCAGTAACTTAGTGAGCCAAAAATAAAAGTTGACCCGTCCCTAGGGGACCAGGGCGCGCGAGAGCCCTCAGTTTCCCTCTCCTCTCCTCCTCCCCATAGTTTCCTGTTTCGGTAACGTGGGGGATCAGAGACCGGGTCAAATTTTGTCGTCGCAGGCACATCTTGCCTGTCCTTTGTCGTAGTCCTCTTGGATACATGTCAACTCCCTCTCTTGAAGCCCACATCTTGCTTGCGCTCAAAGCCCACCATCAGTCAGTGCCCCCTGCCAGAAAGCTGTCGCTTCGAAAGGCTGCAAAAGCCTGCAACGTCCCCTACTCAACTCTTCAGGCCCGGAGCAAAGGGAGAAAGACGAGGGCAGAGATCCGGGAGATGCTGGATGTTCTCAGCAAGGCAGAGGAGGATGCTATCGTTGAGTACATCCTCCAACTCGATGCAAGAGGTTTCTCGCCCCGGCAGGAAGATGTGCATGAGATGGCCAACCTGCTCCTGGCCAAGCGGACCGACCGAAGGGTGGGCGAGTGCTGGACCAAGCGCTTCATCAAGCAACGTCCGGAGCTCTGCACACGCTTCACCCGGCGCCACGATTACCAGCGGGCTAAGCAAGAGGACCCGGCGGTGTTGCTGGCATGGTTCCGGCTGTTCCACAACATGCGAGCAAAGTACGGCATCCAGGACTGCGACCTGTACAACTTCGACGAGACTGGATTTGCGATGGGTATGATTGGGTCATCAATGGTGGTGACTCGGTCAGACCGGATTGGCAAACCGATGGCTGGAGAGCCAGGCAACCGGGAGTGGGTGACTGCAATCTGTTGTGTTGCAGCAGATGGGCACGTCATCCCAACCTTCATCTGCGTCAAGGGCCGCATCCAGCTCTCCAGCTGGTAACCAGGAGAAGCACATCCCCGAGCCGTGGGTCATACAACCAACTGAGAAGGGCTGGACCGACAATGCCACTGGTCTCGAATGGCTGCAGCACTTCAACAAGCATACAAGGATGCTCGGGTTAGGGTTAGGGTTAGGGTTAGGGTTAGGGTTAGGGTTAGGGTTAGGGTTAGGGTTAGGGTTAGGGTTAGGGTTAGGGTTAGGGTTAGGGTTAGGGTTAGGGTTAGGGTTAGGGTT